AGCATCCCCCTATTGTTTTACTGTATGGGGCTCAATGTAGGTCTGGCAGTCAGCTCGGTGACTGGAATTGGTCTGGCAGAGGCAGTTTGTCTGGCTCTAATGGTCTGGGTGATTAGCTGAATAACAAATAGAATGTAAACCATGAACATGTCTTATCCAGTTTATATAGAGTAAGAGCTGTTTAATTGACCTGAGTAATAAACTTTTTATGGCAGGCAGACTCTGAATGACAGGCAGGGATGTAGTAATGTCAGTACCGCAAGGAAATCAGTCAGCTTTTAATTTTCCACTGTTTACTTTGAATGAACTTTCTGAATTTGGCTGAAAAGTATCAGAAAGGACAGTTCTTTATAATGCTCCACTAATCAGTATTTTTAAATTAACAATTAGTTAATTAACATGTGTATTGTTAACGCTCTTCATGGTAAATCTGCCCCCATCTCTGCAGTCCCCTCGTCTCTGCAGTGCTTCATATAGTCTTTCAGCACATTGTTTTGGTTTTACAGCCTGTAACTTTACAGGTTTGCTTCACTCTCACAGCTCCTATCAACCTTGTTTCCAACTACAGTAGACAACTGTTTGCAGCAAAAGGTTTTAGAGGAGAGACTAAAGAGTGAAAAGGAGACTGAATGTTGGACTTAAATTTGTCTAATGGCCAGAAACAAGACTCAAAATTAATGCTAATGTTTCTCCGGATCTGCTGGATGCGTAAATAGGCATTTAATATAACATGTTTACCATTAACTACTCAATATTCCAATGCTGTGTTTAGCTGAACTGCCCCCAAGTGGCCAAAAAAATCAATTTCTACTTAAATGTTTACTTCAGTAAGTGGCATAATGAGGTCTGAACCTATATTAAACATTACATTAAAAATGTATGTCTCAGGCTGGTCCAAATAGTTTCTGTTTGACGAAATTATTCCTTCATTTATGTGATGACTCACTGTCAATAATGACCAAACTGTGAATTCACAGGTCAGTGTTGAGTCCTGTCTGTGTGTCTGCCCATATGCTCCCAGAATCCAGTGCGGACAGTGTTGGAAATTCAAATCATTTACTATAAATAAAGTGACATACATGAACAAGAATCTACATGATAAAAGTATTTTCCGGACTTTGCAGTAAAGCACGTCCAGCTCACGTGGGCACAGGGAGGCACATTTCAGACCTGAGTGCTGTTCCCAGCTAAAGCAGAGCATAACAAGATAACAGGCTCTAAGTTGCACTGTATAGGATGGAGATTTGGCCCCTATCCCGAAGTCCTGGTAAAATAAATGTTGCACACTGACAGACAGTTTGGCTGACCCAGTTTTAATGAATTCCAAATTGTAAATGAAACCAAAGGGGGCAGAGTGGCGAGTGCAAGGGGTGTGAACAGTTTTGTAGAAGGGAAGCTGATGAGTTGATTTCATGGATTTTCATAGATAAGGGGGGGGTTCATGTCTAAGTAAGAGTCAGTTGGCTTGTGTTGGTGCTGGCACCCAGACCTCAGAGTGCTTCTCACCTCGGCAGTGGTCAGGGAGCAGCCCTTCCTGCACATTCCTGGGGCTGTGGAAGATAATTGCTGTGGTTTATGTGAGGGAGAGGCCCCCGAAGAAACACTTCCAGCAGACCTCAGAGTTGCTTAAGTTTTTACTTCTCTCAGAGTCCTGGTTCAGACACAGGAACGGGGTCTGTGTCCTCCACACAGTGGGTCTGTGGTTCCCTTCTGCAGCTTGATACCATTCAAATGTTCTGCTTACTTATAAGGCAAGCGTATGTTAAGTATTGAATAAATGGGAGTGTGGGAGTGCTGCGAAGACGCCAGGCTGCTTATTGAACACTTCCAAGTTTCTTTTTTAGCTAAATCTTTCCTCCTCGGCTATTCTTTCTCATAATGGCTTACATTTATATTCTAATCACTGCGCTTTGAAGGAAGCTCATTGTCTGCCAGCTTCTCATTACGTGACATACATGCAAAGAGACTTAGCGATGTTATTGCTGTACTTTGTGTGAGGTATTGTAGAGCTGCTCATGATTACTCGAATGGAGGCGCACATTTTTGGCCCCGGATCAGTGTTTGAAGTGGAGGGTGTCCTGTACAGACTCAGCACTCACATGTTCTTTTTATTAACCCTCTTCCAAAGTTATCGATGACTGTGTGTTGTAGAGTTTAAAAACAAAACCCAGGTTCTGGACTCACGGTCTCAGCTGCCCACAAAGGTAGAAGACTGGAAAAAGTATGCCATAGTATAATGATTTGATCACACTTTTAAAGACACTTTTCCGGAGCAGTTTCATGACTAATTTCATCACAAGTGTGTGGAAATCAGTTCCGTTTTTTCACAAAGGTGATTGCTTTGAGATTAATTAGATGTTTCCTTAAAACTGTTTCTGACCAGACTCTGAAGGTTGCAGTTTCCCATAATGAAAGGTCATTTTATGTTTTTTAAAACAGTTACAGTATCGTTTTACCTAACTGTTCACAGGGTAACTGTAGTCCATGTGGTTTCTGGTACTCAAAGTTGAATTGTACATAAATGGCAGTTGGCATTGAATAATTCCATGAAGCAGCAGTTTTAATGAATCTGAGAGAAAAGATAATGATTGTGTGGTTTCTGGCGTAGTTCGTAAGTGTTTGAATATCATATCATTTCTGTATCTTAACTGCTCACTAAATTAAATTCACATACGATATTAGACATTCGTTCAGATTTTATTTTACTTGGCCACATGCTAAAGTTAAAAAAGCCACCCGTAACCTACCGATGATATCTTTAATAATGTCTTATGATAACATGTCAGAATGATCTAAAAGTCATTTCATTTTGTGGTTGACTTTTGGGAACAATCAGTAACGTCTCATCTGTCAGCAGCTGAACATTCAAGTTGTGTAATGACACTTTTAAAAGCCTCATTAAGGCCACCTATCTTTTCTCACCCCTGTTTTCAATGGACATTCCTCAAAAACTCACCAGATACTGTACACAGGTGCACACAAGAGATAAAAGTCTGCGCAGCGATGATACTGCGGGTCAGACATCGGCTACCGATTTGAAAAGAAGTGTGCAGCTCATTGCTCATCCAGCAAAAGTCACAGCTGTTTGTGTCTGTGTATAAAGAATTGCTGTGAAAAGTTGTTTTAGCCACTTTTTACATGCTAGTTTAGATCTTTTTTTTGTAAACAGTATACCGTAGGAATCCATTCTGGACTCAGTAGACCAGCTGTACATCATGTCATTACCGCTGTCACTCATCTGTCAGCAGTGGTCTCCCGTACAAAGTGGCGTAGTACCCAGAGAGGGTGACACTCTGGCCCGTGCTGACTGAGGGGGTTAATCATGTTTTCATAAACACACTCTGATGTGGTCTGCTTTGATTCGCCATATTGTCCGCACGGCTGACTGCTGTGACACACAGCTCTGAGCTCGCAGCAGGAGAGGACTGTTAGGAATGCTGTGGCCTGACATGTTGTGAGTAATTAACCCTGATTGATAAAAGATGAACTGCCGCTGCTTGCTGCAGCAGTGGGCCCGTCAGCACACACACACACACACACACACAGACACTCACATGCACTCATGCACTCATGCGTCCACCCACACACTCTCACGCACCATGCACACACAGCAGCTGCACCTGGGAATTTTGGCTTATCTACAACATATTCACAATTTTCATGCCCCTCTAGAGAAGAGGGGAGGGAAAATATATGACAGAAGCTGCAGCCTCTCATCATAACATGTCAAAAGAAACTGTTTTCAACACAGCATGAGGAGATGAGAAGGTACTCTTTTAAGTAGTTCTCAATAAGTCTGTTTAAGAATTGTGTTGGTCAAAGATTGAACAAAGATTTGCCAGTTTTTTTTGCAATTTCTTCTTAGATTTTGTCAGCTTTGCAGCCCACAGAGAATTCTCCAGCTACTCGTACATCTCTGAACTTGATTAGTAAAAGCCTCACTTTTGTCATGTTTGAAAAAGACAGGAATTCCATGACTTTCTCTCATAGGTATTACCCCCCAAAACCACAGATTTGCCAAGAAATAGTCAAACAGGCCTTGCAAAAAGTGTTGCACTTTCAATGTGTTCACATGTTCATGCTTCAGCTTCTCTCCTTGTGTCAGTTAATGTATCACCTCAAGTTGCAGACAGAGGGTTCAAGCTGAGCTCATCCTGTTTCTGCACTCTTCTGTGTGAATGCATTAACTCCCTGTGTGTGGATGACTACTGAGATGCTTTTAAAAAAAAAAAAGAAAGTCTACATATTTAAAGGGAGCTTTTGTCTGTCCAGTGGCATTTGTCTCCCTTCCCCCATCTCCGTCTTTAACAGAAGCCTTACACTTTTGCTGCCCCCCATTGAGATCCCTTGGCTCTTATTATGTTCTTATTTATGTATCCTGTTAGAGATGGAAGTCATGTCAGCATCCACTGAGGCACTCTACTCAAATATTTTCCCTTCAGTTGCGTCCACTGACTCGAGGGATGAGTGGATGAGTGCTGTTTTTCTTTTTAGGCCTTCATCTAATTGATTTTTAAGAAGTTTACAATTCGTGTGTATCTTTATGAATGTATATGTAATTTCCACAGGAGAAAATGATTTGAAAAGAATTACGTTTTTAATCGTATACATATGACAAGGTCCTGTTAACAGACATATAGAGTGGGCTGACGTCAGTATGCCAGGGTGCACTGGGAGTTTTACTTAATGGCCCTCCTAATGTTATTTTTTTGTTATTTTTAAATTTTCTGTTCGAGATAAAGGGGAATTTTTAGGACTCTAAAGCCAACCAGGTAACATTTTGTAGGTAAAGTTTTACCTGCTTTGCATAGTTAGTTGCATGGTGCTCCAGTGAGATTCATGATCAGTGTTCAGACACCAAACATTTAGAGAGAGCATTTACTGCTGATCTAGCTCTTTTGAATGCTGAGCAGGACAAATGTGACGGTCAGTTTTTAGTCAAAAGAAGAAAAACAATGAAAAGGCAGATGATTAACCAACCCCAATCTCTTTCTTTCCAGCTCTCGGTCAGATAATGCTGTACGTGGATGGGATGAATGGCCTCATATCTCACAATGAAACGGTCCAGTGGCTTTACACCCTGGTTGGATCCAAGGTAAAGAATATGGACATTAATTTTCACAAGACCTCTGCCCACAGCCCACATAGTGGATAAACTGTAAAATCAACTCAGTAACCCCATCTGTGCTCTGACAAAGAATTGAAATAATCACACATGCTCTGAAACTCCTCTGTCAACAAGGAAGCAGAGCTGTCACTGTGGCCCCCTCGGCCCTCTAGTGGCCAGATCTCGACATGTGCTGCGTATTTACAGCAGATGAGGCAACTGCATTGACTCTCCTCTCTTTCCCCACTGTTTTCTGGTCTTACTAATTACTTTTCTGCTTTCCTGTGTAAATATTGAAATATTTGGCATCCAGCTTGCTTTCTTTAATCAAAACCCTGTCTTCCCAATCATTTAATCTGGCACATTTCCATTGTCAATAGTCATTTTGACTATGATTATTGGGGTGTTGCTTGTCCAGTCGTAGTGCTGATGTGGAAGCTGTTCAGAAGTGTTAAATTAAATCTGACTGTTTTGACACCACTTACATGATGTTGATTTTCACTCTCAAGCAAATTAACATTGACTGTTTTGCTGTGTATCAGGCCTATCAATTCCATCTCTTATATTTTTTCTCTCCTTTTCGCATTTTTGGAGTGTCATTTTTGGCTGTTAGTAGGGCTGCTGGTTTGTTATAACCCAGATTTTATTTTATTCCGTTTGCAGTCACTTTTACCTTTGTGCTTCTTTCAAACTATTTGTGTACAGAACAGTGTGTTCCCACAAGCTCTTAAATTTCTATTTAATATTGCCTCAGTGTCACACAAGGTTCTTATCTAACTTCTCAAGACAGCTCAGACAGGAAAAGCTGTTAGAAGACAATATGATGCCATTTCTTTGTTGGAAGTTCAAGGGCTGGCACACAGCGCTCTGTGTGAAACAAACAAAAATAAAAATGTTTGCAGTTGAAATTAAACAGATTGTGTGTTATGTGCTGGGATTTAGGAGCTGGTGCCACATTGGGATTTCTTTGTTAACTGTATTTTTCTTATTTTGTAGTTCCGTCTGGTGGTGAAGACAGCCCTAAAACTGCTGCTGGTGTTTGTGGAGTACACAGAGTCTAACGCCGCCCTGCTCATAAAAGCTGTGAATGTGGTTGATGCCAAAAGAGGTAAGAGCCCAGACTAACCAGCCAGCAGTGAACAAACTGACTGATTGGCTGTCAGTTTTTCACCTCAAAGTGACTCATATCAAACATGTAGATAGGGAATTTAAGGCAAAACTACAGATGCACATATTCAATCCACTCTTTAACAGAAAAAAAGTGTATGCGGTGCTATTACAGTGATTTTGGGATATTAAAGTTAATATCAAAACTGCTCCTCAGCTGACTGCAGATCATTGTCTCCTGTTACACAGTAGTCAGATCAGTTTTCCTGAGCAGCTTCCTCGCCACACATAGAGTGAAGTTTACTGAGAGAGACTTCAACTCGTGTCTGCAGAGGGGTTCAGTTACCTGCCACTCTAAATGGCCCCACATTGTACTGCGGCATACAACGGGGGGTTGAGTGTCAGTGTGCAGGGGTTGGGTATCCCTCTGTCTCAGCTCCTTCTTATCCCGTAACTTCTGCTGTTGCGTAAGAAGCCTAAACCTGATCCCCAGTCTCCTGATGAGAAGGAGATGGACTTGACCCTTTCCGGCTGAGACACAGGTCTGCTTTTCACTGGAGATCAGGTCGCCCCTGCTCTGTCTTTCCACTGCCACTTTTCTAGAAGAAGACTGCTATCGTTGTATTTATCCTACTGGAGCCATGAGATGATAAAACAACTGTGTTCACTCCTGCACCCTGTTGGAACTGCAAGTTTTTTATGCCTTAAGATGAACAGATGGATTAGTTATCAGGTATGCATGTAATTGTCTTGTGACATACATTGTTTTGCATGCCCTTCGCTCCTGCAGGCACAAAACTGTGGTCAAACGTCATGGAGATCCTGGATGAGAAGGATGGAGTGGATACAGAGCTGCTGGTGTATGCGATGACACTCATCAATAAGGTCAGGGATTGAAATTTTCTTCTTTTTGGGTCTCTATCTTTCAAACCCCTTTTACAGATTGTGTTAAAATGTAATCCGAATCTGGGTTTCTTATCTGGGTAAGGAGAAAAGTCTGTCAGTGTGTAAATGCTCAAAGCGCAACAGCATTGTTTCCAAAAGAACAGAAAATGTGATCAGATCTGCAAAGCCACTTCGTTCAGCTTGATTAAATCAGGTGCAAATTCAATCTGTATGTTGGGATTGCATTTGTGACCCAGATGAAAACATAAAGGCTGTCAAGCTTTCCGAAAAACAGTAAAATCTGATCCATTATCACTCCTTTTGCTCCCCCTTATTAGGTGAAGGATTCACTGTAGTAGTTTAGAACAGCAGCAATAGCAGAGTCCTAAAAAATTACCTTAATTAAAAATAAGTATTAATTGTACACAATCATGTGCTGTATATAATGAACCTGCCCTGTTTTTCATAGTGCACAAGGAAAATTTGATCCAATTACAATGGAGTCAAAATACGGACAATATAAGCGGATTAAACACTACAGATTGATTTATTTATATACCATATCTAGTTACATTTCAATACAAGGTTTAAACAAAACAGAAGTAATTTTACTCCCTTTCTCTCTCTCTTTATTGTACCAATTATTTTTTTTCTCTCACAGTTGATCTAAATTGCAGAGACAAGGTTAGAACTCTTATTGTGTGTTTTATTGGATGTATTTGTGTTTCAGACTCTGGCAGGCCTCCCAGACCAGGACTCATACTACGACATGGTGGACTGTCTGGAGGAGCAGGGCATCGAAACCATGGCGCAGAGACACCTGAGCAGGAAAGGCACTGACCTCGACCTTGTAGAACAGTTCAACATCTATGAGGTCAGGAAGCCTACACGGCCCACATTATCACATAACAACTAGCCTTGATGTCATGTTAATAGACATGTGTGTCTCATAATAGGTCGTAGGTCACTTCACTTCTCACATATATACATGAAGTGTGTACCAAGGTACAAACATGCAGTTTATTTACTCAGTTTCTCCGTGATGCCTTTGATCTAGATGACTCTCCGCCACGAGGACGGAGACGATGAGACCCAGTTGCCTCCCAGCGCCCGCAAGGACCGCCGACGGGCCAGTGTCGGCGGCACCAACGAGAGGCGTGGCCTCGAGAGAAGACGCAGCCGGAGACATTCGCTCCAGAATAGCAGAGGCCACGCTTCTGCACCAGCATCCCCAAGCAGCTCTCACACTCATGCAAGCAGCTTCCTGCCCTTCGGTGGCCAACGCGTTGAAGACATCAGTGAAAGGTGAGGCGGGGGGGAAGGAGGACGGAGAGAAATGGAAAAGTGGAAAATATTCAAGAGAAGAAAATAAACTTTATCCTTGCTTCCCTTTTAGCTTGAACTCAGTCTGATCCTGGTTTTAAAAGGTTCAGCCAGGAGGGGGTTGTTTTGATCTTGTATATTTAAAGCCCTGCGAGATAGCTGCAACTAAAAAGGAATCACAAATGAATCTTGGGTCCATGAAGTATTACTCTCTTTCACAGGAAACAGCCTGACTGCAAGTGTTGTATTATATTTCAGTCTTGGAGAGATGCGTTGATTCTGTCCCGACCCAAAGCAGAGAATTTAATTATATAGTAATTTAAAGAACGGCAAAGAGGAGACTGTTGCTGGAAAGTGACATTTAAATTAATTTTCCCACTGTCAAAGACATTCTTCTGCCACTGATGGAAATAGGAAGCTTCTGTAAACACATGATAGGAACTATCTGCTCTCTGTCTCATGCTTCCTTCAGTGAGAGTGCATTAAACCTCACAGTGCCATCTGTTTTATATACGACAAACCTTTGTGACTACACAAACTCGCAGAAACCACAACTGGTGATTCAGGCAAGAAGTAAATTGCATTCTTGATTAATTGTACAGTAGCTTGGACTGTTCCCTATAAAAGCACCAGGAAAACTTGGACAGTTCCTTTGTATGGAAATTTACTTAACCTTTTATCCTACTTTTTATTATAGGTCATGTGTCAGAAGACGCTCATTCTTTTAAATCACCAATGATTACTGATCTTTCCTGGTTCCTCATAATTCAGTCCCCTAACATTAATAACAAGCGTTTTTAAGAACCATATGCGCCGATGTTCCTGGTAGCACTCAGGTCTTAAGGTGTACTTAAACTCAGTCCAGTAGGTCATATGATACCAGACTAGCTTCTTCCAGTTTACCACAGGAAATTCAAGCCGCCTTTGAAGATCACCGTTTTCCATATTGTTAATGAAATCCAGACAACCAAGAGGGATCCAGATAGCCAACTGGCCTCAGCCTCCTGTATGACAGTGTATTCCAGACTATCAGTTCAAACACACAAGCTGTCTCCTAACAGTTTTAAAACCTTTTATTGAGTGTAATCTTTTTCTCCTCAATTCAAATCACTGGGAGATGTTTTATATTTGTTGTATATTGTTGTATTAATGCTGCCATAGAATCTTGAATGTAGTTGTAATATGCCTGGGAATATCCATTGCTAATATTTTGAGACTTTGTCATGAAAGACTGCTGTCAAAGCCTACTTGTATTCTTTATTATTATAAAAAATATTATTGTCCATCTTTTAGTGGTTGTCTCCGCTCTGCACTAACACTTCCTCTTAATGCTTTTTCAACAAGCCTGTTTTTAGTGTTTGTCATTTCTGTGTGTTGTCTCTTCTGCTTCCTCTGCTCTGTGTTTTCATATTGTCTCTGTCCAATTTCTCTTCCCTCCCGCCTGCCTACATCCTCCCTTTCCTCCTTTCAACCCTCAAACACCTCCTCTCACCACAGAGAAGAGGAAGAGGCAGAAGAGGAGGAAGAGGAGGAGGAGGAGGAAGGAGAGGAGGAGGAAGGAGAGGAGGAGGAGGAGGATGAGGAGGAGGACGAGGCAGATGATGAAAGTCATCCAGTCACTGAGTCCTCTAGACAGGGTGCTCACAGGTATTTTTTAGCCAACTGTAGTTTCCCCAAGCGTGATACAGTTTCCCCATTTTCCTCATGCAGTATCTCCCTAGTTTTTCTTCCATTTGAAAGTATGATTATTTACTTCTTTCCTTTTGGACTCTCTTGTATTTTGTCATCCTAGTGTGGCTGCAGCTGTAACAGGCACTCCTAGCATGTGTCTGAACTTAAACTGTATGGCCAACATCCTCCCTAAAGCCAGTGACCCTGAAGGGCAGAGAAAATATCTCAGCGCCAAGACCAGGACGTCTTCTCCTGTGTCCGTCGCACCTAGAAAGAGGACCCTTAGTCCTTGGTGTGTTCCTCCCCAGTCACCTGACTGTGTCTTCCCCACTGCTCTGAATAGAGTGCCAAGCTCTGCACGCCCATCAGTGTCATTCTACCCCAACCTCACCCCCTTCCCTTTCCCTCCGTCCCCTGATTTCAACTAGAGCCAGGTGTCTGTTGTGGCCCGAGGAGAGTGAGAAGGGAACTACAGGTAGAGGGGGCAGGCGCTACAGTTCATCTACATGTCTTACGTCCAGACCATTACGCCTCACCATGTGGAAACACACTGTCTTCCCCATCACCGGTGTCTGTCTCTTTGTAGCTCACTGTGCAGTCAGCTAAGACACCTGCAAGCATTACAAGAGTACAAGCTGATATAGTCATTATAAAGTTTAAAATATTTCTTGAAAAATTGCATCAAGTGAGTTTATTTGTGTTGGACATACTGTAGCTTAGTTCCTCTCTACATCCTTCATCCTTAAAAAAATGTTTTCTTGATCCTAGCGGCCAGAAACGCCTTTATTTCCCATCAGATGCGATTTATGTTGCATCTATCATCTCCAAAGACATTCTGTACCAGAACAAGGAAAAGTCATAATTACTTGCTTTTCTCAGTTGCTGGAAAGCATTATTTTGTAAAACTGCTCATCTGTCTTTCATTGTGGCTCTGCACCACAGTTAATCCAGGACAAGTCAATAAATTAATTCAAAGCATTAAGGAATTCAGAATATTTGCATGAGCCACAGCCACTGTCTCGTAGTTGTCGATGTTTCTGCAGCAATATAAAAAGGATAGGCAACCCAATCTGAACAGGCACAGCATTTCCTCAACATATAGTTTCCCTAATGCCATCTAAGCATAAATAATTCCCTGTTCTCAATGCAGTAGACACTAAAAAAAAAGAAAGCCTCTAAATCTGCTTTATTTATTGGGATTTACAGTAGTTTTATAGTTGTCTGAATAACACATTGAATCTGTAAGACAGATGGAGATATTGTCTTGCCCCTGTCTGCTCTCTGTGGTCTTGCAGCCCTCCTACCTTCAACTGCTGTCTCACTATCTTGTTTGTGTGACTAACACTTAATTATTTAATCTTCGGGGTGCCTGATCTGACTGTTATTCTCTTTTTTTCTCACTTCCATCTTCAGTCTGACAGATATAAACAACTCTCCTACATCTTACACAGCTAGAAAGCCCTGCTGGGCTGAAAGGTAAGACCAGGATTTAACAGGTCAAGTGTAACAGGGACAGCAGCTGTATGATGGCCTCTGAGGATTTGTGATTTTCATTTAATAGTTTCAGAGAAAGTTTTGTGTTACACACTAACAATAATAGTTGAACACTCATGTTTCCAGTGATTGATTCATACATCTTTGTTAAAGATCGACTCCAGACATATATTATGGCAAACAGTCTCTTTGGAACAATAATGTGTGTCTAATGTGTTTTTTTCTGCAAATAAAATAAATAATTCCCACATTAATATCTTTAAAAATAGATGTATTTCTTCTGCCTCATTAAAAGTTCCAGAATCTTTTTCCTTGCTGGACACAAGATGTCGCCTACTTCACAAGTCCATCCTCAGTGTATGCACACTGATGGCTTCAAGTTTCTCCATCACAATTGTATAAGTTGCGCACTGGACCAGGATTGACTTCAAAACTATTTGTGATGTCATAAATCATTCTTGTAGGCCTTGCTCCTTAAACTCTGATTTCCGATGAGCACAGAGAAACTTTCCACTTTCAGCAGATGAATATGAAAACATCCTTCTACTGTCAAACTCTGCTCGTACATCAACATCTGCACAGTGAAGCTCAAATATCCAACTGTAGGAGCAAGAAGAAAAACATTACTTTGAGTTTTTATTTACACATGAGGTGTTGCGCAACTGTTGAAGGTCAAAATGTGCACGATTTACCAATTACAAGGCCTATAAGAAAAGAGTAGGTCTGGTGGAAAGGTCAGTTAATGAAAGGTTGCCCCCATGTACAAACACAGATGACCAATGCACCTGTAGGTACCCTTCAGAGCTTGATGGCATTGCGTGCCTTACAGGAAAGCTGTTCAGATGCCTAGGGAGAAGTTATAGATCATTACTCAGTGTAAAATGTCAGTATGACATTGGAATTCCCTTTGCATTATGTCACAGATTCTTTGAAGTGATATTCAGCCTTTTTCTGTCTTTCAGTGAAAAAATGTCTTAGGGGATAACAATTTATTGTATTTATTTCCCCTTTCTTTTAACAGAATCAGTGCCAATGGCACTCCATACCCTGGCAGGCACCAGGCTCCTACATCACCCATCCATCGCTTCACTAGTTCAGCAACCTCCACACCAGACTCCAAACCAGTTGACAGGTTGGCATCTCAACCTTTTCCACAGCTAATGCAGAACATTTTGTGGATACGGTTGATTAAATGTTAACTCAACCCATCTGTAAAACTCCTGTTTGAACAAATGTGCAAATAAAAACACAGATCACTCAATTTTAATAACTTCATCACATTTGTTGTTTCTCTTATGCGTGTAGACCTGCATTAGGGGGCTTGCTGTCTTCATCGTACAGGCAGCATCAGGAGTCTCTGGCTGCAGAGAGAGAGAGGAGGCGCTTGGAAAGAGAAGAGCGTCTGCAGAGAATCGAAAGAGAAGAGAGGAACCGCTTCAGGTTAGTCTCTCACCTTTGAATCAGACAAAACATCACATGTCAGAGAGAATATATTTCATTACTTTGTACTGTAGACAGCTGTACAGCCAAGACATGTTGGCATGTGTCATTTTATAGAAACGAGTGGCTCCAGTTTTGACTCAAGAGAGATATTCACAAATCTCCTGTGAGTCTGATGAAAGCTGGGCTGTCTTTCTTAATGAGGATCATTAGATATAACTGAATCATGGCAGGAGGAGTCTGCAAAACCATATGTTCTGCTCAGTTGTCCTGTCTTTTTTGTTTGCTTTCTTTGTACTTACACTTATACATAATATGAATACAGGTCTTAAATTGCCTCTTCTTTACCTCTCTTTTCTCTCTGTTTCTGTCTTTCTGTCTCAGTCGAGATTATGTAGACAAGAGGGAAGAAGCACGACAGGCCAGGGAGGAAAGGTGAGTGTGCTTTATTTCATGGGTTCACATGGATCCACAATAATGCTGCCGTTGTGAAGCTAGATCAAACAGCTAAGGAGGCTTGTGAATGCTTTGAGATCCTGTTTTAAAATTGATGGCAGATGGAAAATCAGTTGCACTCAGCCTAAGGCTGAATTATAGGTGTCAGAGCCCCTTAGGGCTGCTCAACATTAAGACATCCCAAAGTTAACAGGACAAGTGTGTAATTTTGTTTCGGCATGGATGTGGTCCGCTTATCTCCCTCTGACTATGGCTATGTGTCTGTGTGTCTGTGTGCAGTATAATTTATAGCTCAGTCTTATGCCCTCGCCGTTTTTACCCCTGTGAACTGTAACATGCATCTAATTGAATTTTAAAGAATTTAAGAAAGTGTAAACACAAAAATGTTAAGCTGTACTTTGGCAACTTTAACAAGAGCAGGACGTCATTTGTCATCATTCAGTCCCTGCGTACAGCTCATTTTTTCCTTAGTTACCCTTTAATAACAAACATGTCATATTTGTTCACAGCATAAATATTGACCTCATGGCTTTATTCACTAAAACCTGACTAAATCTTTCATCACTGTTGGAGGAAGCCCTAATGTGTTTTTAGAATGTGATTTTTTCAGGAGCTTGCATTTTTGAATTGCTTTGAAGGCTTGTTATAGAAAGAAGATGGTTTAAACCTCTCTAATTTTGAGTAACATTTTCACAACTGTCACTGAGTCATTCACTTTGAGAAAATAAATCTAAACAATACCAGTTTGCATTCCTTTGCATGTGTGTTTCTATCTGTTTATATCACAACTGTCAAATGGCTGATACTTGAACAACTATTGACATTTAGTTCAGATCAGCACGTATTGACACCACACTGTGCAGACATCTTCAAGCTCCATTTTGTTATTGCAGGTACAAAGCTGTAGAGAGGCTAGCTGCTGAGGAGTTTGAGCGAGAGCGCCCCAGAGCGCCAACAAGAGGACGGACAGAAATCACTTTGTGTTTGAGTCCCAATCCTGCCAGCCGCTCAGTGTCCCGCTGTACCACACCTTCATCCATTATCTCACAGGAGGACACCATCACCGCTGCACACCAGACGTCAGGTAAATGGCAATCACCAACCATTTATTCATCATTAGTGCTTGAGTGATATGCACATGAAAGGACTGCAGTGTTGGCTTGCAGAGCTGGCAGAGACCATACTGGCTGTTAGAGCACCTGCCACACACACTGGGCTTTGCATTAAACACTTTGTTGAACAACAATTAGATTTAGCTGCACTTCTGGTTATTGAGAATAACTCTAGAAATGCATATTAAGTGAAACTGATATTTTGAGTGCGTCTAAAGAGGGTGAGAAGGAGGTGGAGGTGCGTTTAAACAAATATCTAATTTTCTTACTTTTGAAATGGCTTTATAGACGTTCTGATTAAACATCATCAGAAGGTAATTTGTCGTAGCTGCAATCTAAAAGGCTTTTTTCTTTTATAATATTACACTTTATTTTTCTAAAATATACTTTCGATTCGAATTGGACTTTCAGCCACTCACGTTTAATTTTACAATGATTTTCTATGGTCATGAGCCATGGTAACATGCTTTGTTAATTACTGCTACAGTCTGATAATGTATGTTGGGTTTAGACAATCTCTCAGTTTAATTAAGGATATGTCGGGAAGCAATTTAAAGCTGTTTTAATTATAAACAAAGAATGTTTCTGAAGACTATCAGATAATATAAAGGCACATAACCAGAGTACTTAAAGTAACATTTTCTTGCACGATGTTTTCATTTCTCTTCCAGGAACAGAACAAATCTCAGAGCCAAACCTTGACCCACAGACCAGGACCAAAAGTCCAGCGCCAGAGTTAACAGTATCAGAACCTTCCCCCACTCCTCCCCCAGAGCCAGACGAGCAGCAGACTGAGACAGAGTCGCCTGCAGAGACTGAGGACGTTTCTGAGAGTCAGTCTGACCAGAATGTGTTGGCAGAGCCGGCATCCGATGAACAATCCGGCATGGAGAGCAAAGAGAGGCAAGAGGAGGAGAAGCCTGAGGAACAGAAACAGTGCGTGGAGGAAGTAGTGATAGAAGAGCAGGTAGAAGAAGTGGAGGTAGCAGATGTAGCAGGTGTGGGAGAGCCAGATGTCGAGGCGGAGGCGGAGGTGGAGGCGAATGTCGAGTTTGAGTTCGAGAAGGAGCAGACGACGGAAAGGGATGTAGAAGATACTGTACTGCTGAGCGAGAAGGAGAGACAGAACGAGGAAGTGAATGAAAAGGACAACTGCTCTGCATCCAGCATCTCCTCTACCAGTAGCACTCTGGAGAGGGAGGAGCGGGAGGAGAAACTCACCAATGACATTGAAGCAGGTATGATTGATGCTAATTTTACTCTCATACTTTGATAATCAACTATATATATTTTCTCTCACTGTCTAAACTGTTTGTGCATCAACAGGCCAGTGGACACAGTGCATTAAAGACGCAGATGTGAATGACCAGTGCAACAAAATACTCAACAGCAAGCGCTTCATGCTGGACATGCTCTATGCTCAAAAGACAACTAGCAGCGATGAAGGGAATGTAGCAGAAACGGAGAAAGAAACATGTAAATGTGAGAAGGAGACGGAGGTCAGTGACTCCTCTGTGGCTAGCTTGGCCAGCAGGATCTCCACACTGGAGGCTCACAGACAGGCCAGAGAAGAAAATGTGAAAAAAATGGAGGTGGGACATCTGGACAACCAGGGCAGTGTCCGAGCAGTGGCGGAGAAGTTTGGAGATTTGGTCAAAGGTCTGACATCTCCTCCTGAGGTGGAGGCCTCAAAAGAACAGCAGCAGACTGACAAAGCATCACCAGCTGCCTCACCGACCTTACCTCCTAAGAAAGAGTCGGACTACATCTGGGACCAGCTGATGGCCACACCCAGGGAGCTGCGGATCAAGGAAATGGACTTCACAGACCTGAAGGATGAAGATGACGTGGACATTTTAGATATGGACAGTGTGATGGGGTCAGGGGACCTGATACCACCACCTCCCCCTCCGCCATGCAGTGCTACTCTGCCACCACCTCCACCCCTGTTTGGCTGCCCCCCTCCTCCTCCCATGCTTGGTAAAATGATGCCCCCACCCCCGCCATTCATGGCCCCTATCCCTCCGCCCTCCCCTCAGCTGTGTCGAGGGGAGATGCCTCTCTTCCAAAAGAAGAAGAAGACCATCCGCCTCTTCTGGAACGAGGTGCGTCCCATGGACTGGCAGTGTAAGAATCATAAATTCTGTAAGGAGTCCCTCTGGTCCAAACTGGAGCCAATTAAACTGGACACATCCAAGATGGAGCAGCTGTTTGAGTCCAAATCCAAGGAGCTGCCTGTCACAAAGGTAACTTGTGTTGCAGTATTACTGTATACTTTTGGAATTAATTTTGCAGTCCTGATTTGTCTCAGTCTTCAGCTGTTTTCCGGCACCATATCAGAAAGGATCATGTTGTGAGTTTGTAGTAATAAATTAACCATTTGAAATGGGTGAAACCCTTTTCAATAGTAGTGAGAGGGAAGAAACCACACATTACACATTAAGGCCCTCCTTAAGAGAAAGTGTCATTCACAAAATAGGACTGAAAAGTATAAAAAATACTAAACTCTTCACTAGTATCTCTGTACATTGATTAACTTGTAGTTTCATGCTCCCAAGAGGATACAGTTTTATTTTAATGACCCCACTGCACCCTTAAGTGTCCCATGAGTGTCTTACTGTAACAGCCTTTCTGCAGGCAACACCCTCAGGCCAGACATTAAGTGTTTCATGCTCACCAGTAAATGAAAACCTTTAAGTGACAACCCTGCTTGTACCACCCTTTATACCTTTTGCCCTACTTCAAATCGGAATCAAGGAAACTGACTCATCATTCATCCATCCAAGAAAAAAAATCTTACATTATGAGTAATATGATGAAAACTCTCTGTCACATCTGCATTTGTAATAAAGGCTGATAGGTCAGGTTTTTTGACTCATATGTTTAAAAAATTAAGAACGGCTTCCACTACTTGAGATACATGATCGAATATGCAATGCTCAAGCTTTGATTTCTCGATATCTCTCATAGAAAGCAGCTGTTGATGGCAAACGACAAGAAATCATAGTCCTGGATTCAAAACGCAGCAACGCTATAAACATCGGCTTGACTGTCTTACCTCCTCCACGCACCATCAAGACCGCTATCCTCAACTTCGATGAGTACGCACTGAACAAGGAAGGCATTGAGGTAAGCACTTTAAGGAGATTCTGTCTTAAAACACATTCTGTATCAAAAATGGTTCCGCATATTATAAGTACTGTCTCGTCCATCAAATAAAACCCATTCAAGCTCCCTGGGTCCAAAATAAACATGGTTTTCTTGAATGGTATTTACTCAGCAAACCAAAATACGCTGATGGATTTCCCCAAACAAGAGAAATTTAACTCGCATAGATGGGATGGCCCACAATGTTGACATATCATGTGATTTTCTGGCTGCGTGGCTGGCTTTTTGGCTGTTTCCATGTAATTAATCACAGCAATGATTAAAGGTTAGCTCCGCATGCATATTTTCAGCTCGTTTTTAAACCATACCATAGACGTTTGAAGGACTTCACATCAGCAGACAATGATAAATGTTGCGTCCCTTTGGTATTATATAACCTGTCGTTTTCAGAGCTTCTCCTTGAGTTAATTCTCAGCAGAGAGCAGTATTACTCTCCACCTTTTGTCTCTGGAGATATTTTCAGCCAGACAACACAAGCGAGGTTGAAAGTTCAGATGTCACACAAGTTTGTGGGAAAAAATTGGAAACATCTCAGATAAACAGAGATAGAATTGTCAGAATCAGTGTGTTTCCTCTCCCTGTCTTTGATTTACTCCCTGACATATTATGTAAAAAAATGTTACTCTTGAAAAAGTTTTGACATGTTGACTTGATGTATGCTCCAATAAGCCTTTTCCTTTCCCTTCCTCCCTCTCCTAGAAAATCCTGACCATGATCCCCACGGAGGAGGAGAAGCAGAGGATCCAGGAGGCTCAGCTGGTCAACCCCGATATTCCCTTGGGCAGTGCTGAACAATTCCTTCTCACCCTCTCCTCCATCACAGAGCTGTCTGCTCGCCTGCAGCTGTGGGCATTCAAGATGGACTATGAGCTTATTGAGAAGGTCAGACACATTTCCTGTTCACTTTAATCACATGCAAAATAAATCCCAGATTGGAAACTTGGAGAAGTAAAACAATCCAAAACTTTTTTTACTTTACAATACACAGGCTTTTGTGAATTAGAGGAATAGTTGGACATTTCAGAAAATACACTTATACGCTTTGTTGCCAAGAGTTAGATAAGGAGATACCGCTATCGTGCCTGTATGGTGAATAGCTTCCTAGCTTGGCTTAGTATAAAGACTGGAAACAGATGGAAAACAGCTGGAAAACAGTTAGCCTGGTAACAACAAGTGAACAAAATCTGCTTACCAACACCACTAAATTTCACAGAAGTGTTTTTTGTTTCATTGTTATTGGCCAGCCATGGTGACTGTGACTGAGCTGTCTCCCCCTGTTTCCAGTCTTTATACTATGCTGAGCTAATCGAATGCTGGCTATAGCTTCATATTTCCTGTACAAACATGAGAATGGTATTGATCTCCTTATCTTACTCTTGGCAACAGAGTGAGTGGGTGAACTGTTTCAAAGAGCCTAAAAGAGTAGGCCTAGTCTATCGTCTTTTTCATTCCTCTCATGCTTCTTAATTATCAAAACCTGGTGCCTACATCACCTACAATGCAACTTCAGCACCGACAGTGCTTTGAGAGATTTGTGTGTGTTATGCCAGTATAGCATCTGATCTAGCCTAAAGGCTAGGAGCAGCTAACGAAGCTGCTAGCCTCAAGCAGACATGAGGGCCGAGGCTACAGAGATCTGGTAACCGCACTTCTTTCTAATTCCACAACCCCAGATTTTTTTCATTTTCAAACCTGGTAGTCTTCAGACTCAACCAACCCCGACTCGAGTGACATCACTTGAGGTAGTTTATCAGACTTCACGCAGCTCCCCCTGCAGCCACAAATAGTAAATATTATTACTGTAATATCATCACTAGTAATGCCTTACTGCCCAACATGGTTCTTGACTGTATTTCCATGCTCTGTTAGGAAGTGGCAGAGCCTCTACAGGACCTGAAGGAGGGGATGGACCAGTTAGAGAAAAACAAGACTCTCCGCTACATCCTGACCACGTTGCTAGCCATAGGCAACTTCCTCAACAGCACTAATGTGAGTAACCCTCAAAGACATATATGGCCTAGAGGTTCCTCTTTTTTCACTTTCTCTCCCTCTGTGTCTTTTACTCACTACCTCCATTTCCTCCCACGCTCCTCCTCCTCCTCCTCCTCCTCCTCCTCCCCCCAACTCACCCGCCAACATATTTATTTGGCAAGGATAACAGTGGACTCTCTATGTGTTGAAGAATGTGCTGCCTGACTGTCTGCATCAGGCACTGTCCTTCTACAGTAAAAAGTTGTCAAGGCCTCTGCTGAACCTGGGTCTGTCTGTCTGAGAGGAAAAAGGGAGGTTGTGTGTTTTCTAACAGTTTGTGTTTGTCTGGCTGCTTGTGTGTGAACTTGCATCAGTGTCTCTGACTGTTTTGTTTTTCTACGGTCTCACTTTGTGACTTTTTGTGGCCTTGCGTGTGCCTTTGTGAGCATGCATCTGTGTGTATGTCTATGTATAAGTGAACCTCTGGGATATGAGAGCCAGAAATGCAAACGGGAAACATAAGTCATCGACATCAAAACAAGTAGTTCCCGTAAATAATGGCTGCATTTATATTTTGCAGTAAGCCATTTAAAACTGGCAGAAGAACAAGGGAGATCCTGTTGGGATTATGTCTTTCATGATATGTTCTGGCTTTTTTTAGCTTCACTGTGGTGAGCAGAACAATCGGTCGGGTCTGAAGTAGATTGTGGTTTCTGATAATCACCAGCCTAATGAATCTACATATCTACTCGGCGCACTCCATTGAGCCCCTTTTTCCGACTGTGCCAAAAAGGAAATTTACTGCAATTTGCTCCTCGAGTAGGGGCTTTTGATTTTTAATTTCAGACAGTTGTTTCCGTCCCACGTTCTGACTGTGTTGCTGTGCATGCATGCATCTCTAGGCTAAAGGCTTTGAGCTGAGTTACTTGGAGAAAGTCCCAGAGGTAAAGGACACAGTTCACAAGCAGTCCCTACTGCACCACGCCTGCTCCATCGTGGTCGAGAAGTTTCCAGACAGCACTGACCTCTACTCTGAGATAGGAGCTATCACCCGCCTGACCAAGGTTAGCCTTGTGTACTTTTTAAAAACTCATTAAACAATTATAGTTGGTTATTAGTAGCAGCAAGTACAAATGCCATATCCATTAAAGAGAGTTCTGTCTGTGGTGTTGTTGTCAGGTGGACTTTGATCAGCTTCAAGACAATCTGGCCCAGATGGAGCGAAGGTGCAAAGCATCATGGGATCACCTCAAGGTCATTGCAAAACATGAGATGAAGCCAGCATTGAAACAGAAAATGTCAGACTTCCTCAAGGACTGTGCAGAGAGAATCATCATTTTGAAGATCGTACATCGAAGAATAATCAATAGGTACGTTCAGATGCAGATCAAATGAGTCCATGCTGGATATTGTCACTACTATTGGTCACAAGTAATTCAGTGGTATTTACAACCATTTGTAGCATTTACGGTGACTTTGTTTCTGCTGAAGGATCTCTGTACAGTGATGTGATGTTTCTCTACGTGTCTGCAGGTTTCACGCCTTTTTACTGTTCCTGGGCCATCCGATATATGCAGTCCGTGAGGTCAGCATTCATCGCTTTAGCAAGATCCTGAGTGAATTTGCCCTGGAGTATCGCACAACAAGAGAGCGCGTGCTACAGCAGAAACAGAAGAGGGCTAACCACCGAGAGAGGAACAAGACCAGGGGAAAAATGATAACAGATGTAAGTGTTCTTCACCACGAGCAACAAGTCACACGTACACTTTCTCCATTTCCTGATCCTCGTCTTTGTTTGGTTTGTACTTTTTCAATTCTGTGAAACAATATGAGCAATCCCTAGACACTGGTTATATCTTTAATCTGGTTAAAGTGCCAAACGTGGCCATTTCTGACAGACACAGCATACATTTGTAATGACATCAGCATAGTTCCCCGGTATTCACATGTATAGGTTACTGTAACAACAATCAGTGAGTTGTTTTTAGTGTATCTCATTCTGTAGCAGGCTAAGAAAGGCCAGAGCAAACACCTCCCTGCATGATTAAAATCCCTTAAACCCTATGGAGTCTGCTGGTCAGAGCGGACTCCACAGCGAGCCTTGGAAGGGGCCCCTCTCTCTTCAAAGGGACCCTAATTCAATCACTGTGTGAAAATTCAAACCTTTGGATGTCCCTGAAGGAGAAATAACAAGGCCCACACCTTAACCACACTCAAAGATGTTCAGTCAAATATGCTTTTCTTTTCCATAGCATGTACATATCTGCAGTGTTTTTATGGGGCGTAAAAATACAAATTGTTGGGGTTTTTTTTATACGGATCAAAAAATGTGTTAATTAGTGAGCTTTAGAGGTGGCAAAAGGAAATTATTTGGACAGAGCCAGGCTGGTTGTTTCCCCATGTTCCCAGTTTTCATGCTAAGCTGCTGCTGGCTCCAGATTTATATTTACTGTACAGACACGAGAGCGTAAAAGCAAATAAGCATGTTTTCCCAAAATGCTGAGCTATTCCTTTAATGGTTAAAATGCAAATCAAGCATTATATGCTTTTTTTATGATGAAAATCAATCTGTAAAATGAGATAACTCTGTTAAAGATAAAGCCTAAAGACTGTTTTCTGAAACATTGTCTCTTTGTAGGTGAAAGGTTTTCACTTGATACCAGCAGTGTAATATATTTACAGCACGCCTTTTGGCATTTTCTCCTTCTATTTCTTTTATCTCCGTAGAGTGAGGACGATGATAGTGAGGTAACTGTGTGCAAATAAGTGCATGTGAATTTCCCGTTGTGACTAACATTCAACCAGACTGTGTTGTAATATCTTTGAACAATAACCGGTGTGTATACGGAGATTAACAAAGATCGTGCCCTCAGTAAGACTGACAGTGTGTGACCTTAAATGAATGAGGAAGCTTGAAGGTGATGACAAGGCGAGAGAAAAAGGTGTTTGCATGAGGTCGGCTGGAGCGTTGAGTGAATCTTACCAGGGGGAGCACCTACTTCCTGGTAGAAATAAATGGACCTCAGCTGAACTGCTGAACCTGGCATGTCTGCACTGTTGCAAGAACCAGTTATGAAGAAAAAGGGGAATTCCTTTTTTTTTGTCCTTGTCACAGAACAAACAGCACTTAAGATGTGTATCAATGACTAATTGTTCTTACTTTAGGCTGGAAAGTGTTGTGTCACTAGTAGAGATTAACCTTTATGACAAGTTTGATACTCAAAGCTTTTCTTTATTGTTCTTCCATAATCCTAAAAGTGTCAGAGCATGGAGTTTCAATACTAATAAAATGTCAGATATTGTAATCATGTGTGCTCTCCCTCCTCTAGAGTGGTAAATTTGGCGGTGCCCCGTCAGAAGCACAGGAGAGCCAGCCTCAGGGTATCCAGTATGCTGAAGATGTGGCTGAACATGAGAACATGAAGGCCGTATTAAAGAGTAGCCTGCAGGGTGGAGAGAGTGGGACGTCCACAGTGCCCGGCCTCCGTACACGCACCAGAGCCAGCAGCACCAGAGGTCAATCTCATAAACATGTTATACTGTTGCAACCCCCACATAGTATATAACATATTTATATTAATATCATCCATCCAGTACACATTTGTAAAAGAATTTGTAGTGACATTCATGGCCAGATGATGAATCCTATCGATGTTGATGATCTCCTGGCTTTTCCTCTAGTGACACGAGGTTCACATTTGTGGTTTTGCGTGCAATGTCTTGACAATCATTGGATGGATTGTACAATATATATATATATATATATATATATATATATATATATATGTATGTATGTACTCCGCTGATTTTTTTATGACTAAATTCATCAGCTGTACTTTTTAGTGCTAGTTAGCAATTGTTAGCATGTTAACTGCTAAACCACAATGATGAACTTTACATTATACCTGCTTAACATCAGCATGTCAGCCCCGTCAGTGTAAGTATGATAGCATGCTAAAGGTGTGTCTAAGTACACTCAGTCTTGATTTGTTAAACCTGCCCTACTATACAATATGCCTTGTTGTTTTCTTATCCATTCTGATCTTGTTGTTTTAGGGCGTGTTCCCCCATGGTGCTCTGCCAATGATGACCCAGTGAACTGCACAGATGACACAGCTGATGAGATCATGGAGAGGATTGTTAGGTCAGCCACTCAGGGGCCCAGCCAGCGGACGCAACCTCGGGAGAGGAGACGGTCCCGAGCCAACCGAAAATCATGTGAGTCACGTCAACTATTGGACAAGTGGCCTGATTTATTACCATGCACAGAGAAATGTTATCAGCTGCATGCACCAACACACTGGTCCAAAGCTGTTACTTATCAGTTTGTCATTCTCTCTCCACGTCCCCTTTTATTTCTCCTCCTGTCCTGCCTGCACAGTGAGGAGGACACTGAAGAACGGTTTGACGACAGAGGAGGCAAACGCTCTTGGCTTGTCCAGTGGTTCAGAGATGCAGGTGTGAGCTGGACATAAAGACGTCTGGAAGCCCTTTCACTGCCCCTCCAACGCCCACACCCAGCCGGGCAACCCACTCCACCCTGGCTTGGCACTAAAATCCCCCTCCCCCCAGCTTCGATGAGTTGACCTCATCTTTCTGCGTTTCTGTTTACATCGGCTTGACACGAGTGCTTCCTGACGAGAGTGGATAAAAAGCGGAACAAGATTTTTATTCACGAACTGACGGCCGGAGAGCGCAGACATGGAGTGCTGTAATCAAACCAGTTTTGCTGTTGCTGGATAAACGTAGATGAGCTGCACTCACAAGGCTTAATCACAATCATCCTTTGAACGTGACACTGCATACAAACACCCGCGCAAAAATTAGTTGTTTTTTTTAGGCCGAGGGTATGGAAAGAGTTGGCAGTGTGTATGCTTCAGCCTACGTGGCCTTGACTGAATCCAAAGGGCTAGAAGTGTGGTACAGACACTAAACTCTCCACTGGTTTAGTGTCAGCCCCGAAGCTTTAGTGACAAATTAAATTGAAAGAAATCTCATCTATTGAATAGATGGCTTTGTGCAGAAGGTTATTCTGTTATATACTACTGTGGTAGTTTTGTGTTTCTTTTCATTTTGCTCAAGAAGGTGCTCAAATAAGGAACAATTGCACTGGATGTAAAAGTTGGGTATCAATGGAATGTGAAATCCTTGACACTGATGAACCACTCTGACATCTAAATCTGAAAATGTACTCAACAGTTTAACCAGCAAATCAAAAGTAGCACACTTTTTATGTCTAATCAAAGTGGACAGATTCAAAGCAGATGTGCATCTAAAGCTTTGTCAAAGGTCTGTTAGTTGACTGGATAGGAAGGAATTAATGCGAGAAACGTTTTTGTAAAGTTCACAGTCAACAGTTCAGTTACTGTTACTAGTTTTAGACTAATGCTGATCATGCAAACATTTTTAGCTTCAATAAATGTAGACAAGTTGAATTATGTGACCTATTCTCAGTCGGAAACAGCTTGAGGAAGGCAGACAGTGTTACAGGTGAGCAACCTTCATAGAGTTAATGTAGTTTTATTTTCTAGAAACTATGAGCTGCACATTTCAGAGTGCCTTTCAGAGACAGTTATTTATTAAGACGTTTTCAGGGACATATAATCAAGAAAATGTTACAACAGATGTGCAGTCTGTGAGGGGGGGGATAATATTGCAATGTACATCATTCACGAGCTGTGATTTATTTTTAACCAGTGTTTTCAAACTTGTCCTGGCAAAATGTCTGCTTTTTTGCCACGTTATACGTCTTGGATCAAATAGTTTGTTAGGGAGATAGCTTTAAAGTATTTATGACAACTTAGGGATTGGTTATGCACATTAGCTGTATCTTGTTGCCTTACTGTAGAATATGAACATGCATCGTTCCTCTCAAGTCATGATCTAGGTAAAATGTAAGAGCTGAAATTCATGTGTAGCTCAGCTGGCATCATTGGAGATCTCGGTTTGTAATTCACAGGACATATAAAGTATTCCTTCACTCTCTTAACTATGAATGTGAACATCAGGGGTTACATGATAATTAGTAATATGGACGCACATAGAATCTCCATTATTTATCTATTGTAAATCTGTATTGAAGTGGATAAGGAGCCCACAGTTAAACTTTGATTATATAGGTCTGTTTTTGAACTATTGGTGAACTAATGTTGCTATTAATTATTTTGGAATGGCCTTCGCTAAATGTATAACATGCATAACTTCAGTTTGTATCACGGAAAGGTAAATCTATCCACTAGCAAATTCTCACTGTGATGGAACATAGCCATTGAAAGAAAACAAGAAATCTAGCGCAACATGATCATGATAAAGCTACATAAAACCACACCAGCAGTACCATTTTTTTTTTTTTTTGTTACGTTTAGAATTTACTGAAACCAATTCAGCACCTTAGACTCAATGTGTAGCATGCAACTTAGTAGTTATGGGGGGAAGCGCATTGTGTTTCCCAGATTGTACTGATTTTTGTCAAAACCAAGAAAGAACAGATGTGTAAAGTAATATGGGGGGGGATGCTGTAAAATGATGTAAATGTCATGACAATGTCCGTTTGTTCTTTGTTTCTGTTTTTTGCTCCACGTGTAGAATAGTGTATTATAGACTAAAAGCAGTATTATTCTAAATATAATTTAAGCAAACCAAGCCATGCATGGTTTAAAAAGGTGTCACTTCTGCTTGATACAAAGGGAGGTTCACTTTAGTTCTCAGAGCTGTAGGGTTTGTGTGCGTGTTATTAAACCTTTTTACTTCACAGACTGTAAAGTGAACAAATGTGGTGAAACACGCAGTGATGAAATTCACCAGCTAATCCTGTGGAATCCCCTTAGAAGCCTTTGATTTCATTGCACTCAACGTTTTCTTCTTTTAATTTAACATTAGCCCACGACACACATTGCTGCCTGTGCCATAACATCACTGTGGAACAAGGCTTCTATTGCGTCTATGCCCACAGCAAAAACTATGTAACAACTACAATAAAAAGGCTCATTAAAACAACGTTTGACATTTTTTTATTTTTAATCATCTTTCAATTGTGTTGTTTTGCCTCTGAGTTTCCTCCAGGGAAAAATATTTGTCAAGTCTAACACTTTTTGGAAAGAAAAAGCAAACGAAAAAAACTTAAGCCTCTTTATTTTCAGTCCACACAACCCATGCTTCAAGTCACTTTATGTTCAAGAGCACATAGAGGTCGATGCCAAGCTTGCCAATACAGCTCATCTGGTGTTTACACATGGCAATCATACAGACCTCATTTGGTCTTGCTTAAAATTCCTATATGTCCACAGGTGTTATGGATCTAAATGTGATTATGGTTTGCTTTTAATAAATTGCAGAGACATTACGATGAACAAGACATCTACCTAAAAAAGGGGGGAGGGGAAGGTAGGAAAATACAACTGAGCATCAAAAAAAAAAAAAAAAAAAAAAAGCACAAAAAATAATAATTAGCTGAAACAGTCTCAGCAAATCCAGTGCAACCCAAGACATGTTCTGCTTTACACTAGCGGAAAACTAAAAACAAGGGCACATGTTAAGAATTATATAATTTGTATCTCCTGATCATAATTCAAATTTATCAATGTACATTTTCCCTGAACAATTACTTTTGCACAGTACCTCAAAATTGTATAGATAAATTACAAAATGGAGTATTCCCTTTCCACCAGACATGATTTACTTTGTAAAACCCCTGAATGACTGACAGGCAGAAAGCTCTTATGCAGTTTATATTTTATATTGCTACATTTTTAACAAAGATTAACAAAGGGATTTTCAGTTTTGCATATTTTCTTAGGTTTGTGGTTTGGTGTGCGTCTGCACCAATAATGTCAAATTATCTCTGAAATAGCACCAAAAGACAAACGCCTGACTATTTACAGGCCAGGCGTTTATTGAAAGTATGTTTTAGAAATAGTACATAGCAAGTGTGCAGTGCAGTTTAATCGTTAACCACAAAGTGATTCAATTTATAAAATGGCAAAGAAGTAAACAACACTAACTGTATATTACCACACACATAAAGCTGATCCTCAATCAACACAGACAAGTCAGACCTGACAGTTTCAGCTGCTGACTTGTCTTCTATCTCAGGGTCACGGTTAAGATTTAATCTTCTGCAATGGATACAAGTAAACTCAGAGCTGTTGTTGGACACAGTTCCCGGTGACTGTTTGGTACAATAATGTACTTTTAGATCTGGCTTGAATTAGAAATTATAAAAAGAAGACTCCGTCCTTAATTCATATTCATGATACAGGTTGCCTTCCTTTTAAAAAACAGGTTTTAGGGATAAGTTCAGTTGGAGAAACAACTGAAGCGTAATGTTTGAGGTGTCTAAAAAGCTTATATAAAAATGTATACCCAAATTATAGCTCCTGTGAGGGAAATATGTAAATGTTTACATTTTTAAAAATACCTTCTTTTTTTTTTAACCAGTTACTCATGAAGTTATTTGAACATATAGCACCAGCTTGTAGATCATGCCAAGCCTTGGGTTTGGTCTAAAGAGCAAATCTGTGCTGCACTAAAATAGTGTAACCCAGACAGCAGTGAGACAAATTGACAAATCTTCAAAGAACTTAAAGTGCCACTCCAGTCCCACTCCAGCTTCCCAGACTTCAGCTATCTAAACCTAACCACAGTACGCGTTTCCTATCTAAGACAACTGATGGGGAGCTTCAAGCATTTCCATTAGGAAAGTGTCAATAGGTGTGTCACCGATCAGCTTGAAGAAGAAGAGATGCTCCAAGCACTTCAAGCCGATGGATCGCAGTGCTGGCAGTCGAAGAAGGAGCTTCGCAAACCTGCATGGAGCAGAGAGGATGGCATTTGGTTTGACAAGATGAAGGATCCACCAATGAAATTGTGAAATCAATGCAGCGGAGTAAAAAACAAGACTATGCTAAGCTCATCGTAGCTGTGGACCTTCCTACCTTCCCTGCTGCTCTGGGTATCTCTGTTTGCAGTAGGCTTCCAATGATGCATAGACCTTTTCTCTAAGGAGCTCCACCTCACTGGTGTTGGAGAGCCCTTTAGCATCTGCAGGAAAATATCTTTTCATTAGGGTCAGGACACCTAAAGACGCATCCTACTTTATGAATAAAATGTTAAATCTTTCTTATTTAGATATATTAGCATTGCACAGGCACCTGGGTTGAAGAGGACGATGGCTCGGAGGCAGCCCAGCTCTGTTTTGTCCATTTGCATATCTCTCATTTTATTGACAAGCTCGGTAAGGACCCTAAATAATGACACAGTTTCAGTGTAACATACAATACATGATGAGAAACTTACACTAATTGTACTGACTTCAAGACATACTCATTAATATTATAAAAGTGTAAAATTACCTGTCAAATATGGCGCCGACCTCCGCACTCTGCACACTCTCCCTGTGTTAAATAAAACCACTTATTAGGCTGACACTAGACATATGTAAAACGATAGACAAGCAGTGTATTTGAGTATGCTGTCAATTTTCTTTTCCTGTAGATGTACCTGTCAAAAATGGCTCCTACTCCTGCGCTGTGTGCACTGTCACGCTGCAGCTCGGAGGCCAGGAGAACTCCATCCTTCAAAGCAATGGAGCGATGGGAGAACGAGGCAATGAGGAGCTCATTCCACCCTGACAAATGAAAAACAATTGAACACTGGTAAGTAATGACATCCATGAAAAGCAGTCAGTCAGTAGTATGGTAGGTGAAATTACACCCACAATGGATAGTGGTTTTAAAGAGGAACATCTGTCTGACTTTTACTTTCTATCCTTAATTTGAAATAACTGGCAGCAAAAGGTAAACTCAGGGTTTTGTTGGCTCTGCTATAAGATCTGTTTTAACTAGGATATGAACATTTCCTGGTGTTTTGACACTGTTAGATAGCAGTGTCATTGTATAAGACAGCTTTACACTTATAACGTGAAAACAGAGCGTTTATGGCCTTGTTACTCTTTCAAAAGTGTACTTGCTATATTCATAACCTGCCTCTGATACACTTGCAAGGACATAAAGTGGACCTGAACTCCGTGTTGATTTTGAAAGGTGCTTGATCATACCTGCACGGAGAAGGATGACCTGGTCATCAAGGGGCAGTTCAGAGAAATGAGGAATTCTCTTTGCCCACTCAACCAAGGCAAACAGCTGTTTGTCTGCAGTCTGACAGATGTTGGTAACTGCATCATGGGGCTGAAACCAAACAACAGTTTACAACAATGTTTACTTAGTTGTACATCCAAAACAAATTCTTCCAGCAATAACAGTAAGCCTGTACTTTTTTTAGGTTTTTAAGTTTAACTTTTTTTAAATCCTCAATGGGGACATTCTTTTTTCACTGAGCATTTACACACATGGACCCAAAATACAATCATGAACACACAGGGCTTATAGACTTGCTAATGTGGATAAGAGAGTGGAACTGGCACCTCTCCAGCTACCAGTCCACAAGTCCCTACAGACTGAGCTACTGCCTTATTCTAAAAACATGAGGCCCAAACCCATTATGCTACAAAGTTATTGATTCTCATATCTATTGGTATGGTGCAACCACTCACGGAATTGCCTGCAGAACCACCATCAGAGTGAAGCTCAGTCTTGTGCTCCACAGCAGTCTCTGCCTCTAAAATCTTCTCCACGGGCATCTCCTCGTTCACTCCGACACTGAACTCCAGCTCTCCTTCGCGTTCTCGGTTCCTCTGGCGCTCCTCCTGGACCGCTGCATCAAACAAAACACAAGGAGACAGTGGGGGAGGGGAGAGAAAGGAAATGAGATGATGGTAAATATTGAAGAATGAAAAGATTCTGGGGAAAAGAAATGTGCAAACTGATGAATTTATGGGTTAAAGAGTGATATTGTGCAAAATGCTGTCTCTTGTAGGATTTATGTTTTATTGAGAAAGACCTTTTCAAATTCTATACTGCCTTGAGAAAAAGGTATTCATGTTAGTAACAGCAGAAATGCATTTCAAAAGCATTGCATTCAGTGGATTGCTGTCAATTACAACATAAAAGTATGGCTAGTAATCTCTACAGCACATCACTCAAGATTTTAGATTGTTGATTATGTCTCTCAGCGCACCTTTCTACATAGTGATTTTACACTTTTCAAAATAGCTTAACAATATCAAAAGTCAGATGAATTTACTTCAACATTATCAACAGAAGTTTAGTAACTGACAGGTTGAAGTTACATGCATGAGCTTGTTATCAGCATGCCCTTGAGTTAGCTTACATGCATTAGTTTAATGTTTCACAATCAAATACTAAATGGTTAAAGACAGAATCACAATGCATCTAAAAATCTATGGCTTTCCCACCCAGACTTAAATGGCGGCCTGACTCCAGAGTGGTGCTGTCCTAACCAGCACAAAGCACCATAAGGACAACTGAGGAGCCTAGAGACTAACGTGAAGTTTGTTAAAACTTGACAATAAATATTTAAATACAGCAACACAAAGGGAGACCTCAGTGATCTCAGTGAGGTGAAAGTACAGCATCTGTTATCTAATCCAAAAAAATATCACCACATATTCTGAATTCTCTTGATCGAATCGGGGGAGAAAACCCAACAGAGCTGTCTAAATCGCTTTGAAAATACTGACACTATAACATGTAATCTACCCATCTCACTGGAAGATCAGACACTAGTAAAGAGGCAACACCTCCCATAATACATTTACTGTATACTATATGCATTTAAGATACATAAACTGACCTTGTGGCCTATGAAGGACCCTAACTAGAATGAGATCCATTATATTCTTTGCTGCTCCAACACCAATCCACTCTATCAGATTTTATAATAGTTACACACATTCAACAAACAACGTATAACTGCCTAACTGCTTATTTTATAAAGCACTAGAACATCACAAGGCAATATACAGCGAACCACACTCTCCATCATTTCTGGGTACATTTTCGCAAATAAATCCTCCAGTCAACAATTTTGCAGGTCTAACACAACAGGCTAGTTCTATAAGTAACATCAAAATACAGTATCTTTAAGATTTCAATGTCATACTCATCCATCCCTCATCTTTTCCATCTTCTTTTATCCACTTTACATGTTTGATCACTATTGAAAGATGGAGAAAGGGCAGAATAGGAGAAAATGAAGAGAAGAGATGGAGAGGGGTTAGTTATATAAACCAGCCCCAATACACCTGTCTCTACCCTTTAGATTATCTAATCTAGCATCCGCCCTCACCTACGCCAGGAAAACGGTGCTAATCCAATATTTCTTAATCAATTCAATTGGGCTTTCTTTGGCATAATGACTTATTTTAAGCAATCTAACTGACTGCCAATGTTTGAATCATTCTAAAAATACACATTTAACACAAACTCCAAAGTATAAGACAACTCGCAACAAAACGTGTTCCTAAACCTTCATTAGCCAAACAGGCTCTCAAAATGAACTTGAACCTCTATAACAACCCTGTTCCTTGCATACCTTCCCTCTTCATGCCCATGGCCAGGCACTTCTGGTAGCGGCAGTACTGGCAGCGATTGCGCTGGCGTTTGTCGACCAGGCACTCTTTGTTATCCCTGCAGGTATAGCTCAGGTCTTTGCGCACAGTTCGTTTGAAGAAACCTTTGCAACCCTCACAGCTGTACACGCCATAATGCTTGCCTGTAAAATTAAACAAGTTAAAATAGTAAGGTTAGAGGCTGATGGGAAGCTCAAACACAATATCAAAGTGGTAAAACAGTCTGACATACATTTTATATTTCCATTAGCAGTCGTGACTGAGATCCATTTGTTTAAATCTGACAGTATCTGACAGGGATTATCCACACTTTTTAAAAAAAGTCTGTAGCTGATGTTTCACTTGTCCTAATCCTGCTCCGAGTGCATTCACTCACCAGAAGAGCGATCTCCACAGATGACACACAAGCGTTTCTGAGACAACATTAGTCCAGGGCTGTGAGCTGGCATGGGCCTCAGGCCAAACGGAGGCTTGATATCTTCTGAGCTGCTGATTGAGTGCATCCCTGATATGGGTGCTGAAGAAGAGATCTGGATACACAGTGCAAGCAAAAAAAGAACAATTAAAACATTGTCTATGTGTAATATTAAATGACAACCCTGCTTTTTGTTTCCTTGACTATGTGGTCGTCTTATTCAATACCCTGATAACACTGATTGAGCATCAGTGTGCACACAAAAACTTCCTGCAACTAACATTATGCAAAGGTGCTTCCTCCTCTTTTAACCATTCACTGAATTATACACATAATATGTATAAACTTTTAATACAGTGTACCCAAATCTAACACTTAGCCCTTTGCCCCAGGTAAACAAACACCGGTACCCTACAATTGAGGCAAACATTTAATTCAGTCATTTCAATAACGACTGTCACTTACCTGACTGTTGCTGATGGGGCCAAATCCCAGAGAGGGCGAGACCACTGGGGAGTTAAGTGACGGACTGATAACTGAGAAAGGAGAACCCAAGATGTTGGTGGGGCTGTTGGAGGCTGAACTGTTGGGCTGCTGTGAGGACATGACTAGTAAACTACCCAGTGGAGAGGAAGATGTCCCGTCTGAAGGATATCAATCTGAGGGTGACACAAACAGGAAATCATTAGCATTAGTTTTTTTGATTGAACTTGCTTGATTCAGGCATTTGTCTTTGCAGTAAACGGTTGTGATTGCAAGTATAACTGAAAACAATTACCAGGCGATCAATACTGGTAAAAAGAAGACATTTTAAGCTTTTGGATTTGTGGTGAGAAATTGTGATGGGAGTCCTTTTTTGCAGGACACACTTACGTTGCCTATTTTACCCACAGTACATGAAACTTAACCAGTAAAATAAACCTGACACAAATGTCAAACGAAAGAAGTGCTTTGATGGACGAGATGTGATTTTGAACCACGTCGATTATTAGTTAGCTGAACCTCATAATTGTTTTACATGAGCCGCCCTAATCAAAGTGGTCAAATTAAAAGGGAAATCACATTGAGACCAAAGCAGCCTTTTTCCGTTTGGTCATCTGTATTCAGACTAAACAAAACCACAAAATAGTTACACTAACATTTGCTTACATTAGACAGTATTTGTTAACGTTGGCTGGTCGCTGTTGGCATCGCAATAACGTTACACGTTTGCTAAATGTTGCTAATGTTACGCCGTAACGTTGACATTAACAAGGAAAACAGCATTAAGTAAAGGTACAAAAAACCGCAAACACCCGTACCAGTGTCCATTAGTGTTTTCACGAATAAATGCTAACGTTAGTACAATGTATTACTGGTCGTAACATATAAATACCCCCATACGTTTTGCTTTTACCGTTAGCTAGTTAGCTAGCTGCAAATCCATAACCGCTCGAAAGACCCTGGCTACAGCTAACATTAGCTTCGGTTGCCATAAGTTACGTCTGACTAATCTTTCACCCTACTACGTTTCATAAAACTACGATATGAACATACCCCGGTATTCATCAAGAAAACTTGCAGCTCATTAACGCGACGGTCATCGAACCACTCCAATAAATCTGCACAACCAGCGCAGTGTTTTCTAGCTAGCTAAGATTAGCCTCTTAGCTTCAATTACGGCTAACTTGGCTAATATGGTTAGCATTAGCCTTTTGCACGGGTTCGGGGTGGTAGTCTGAAGAAGCAGTTGTTGACAAAATCGCTCATGGTCGTTTGAAGGTTGGGATTACTTACCAGACACACCTTCGACGCATTGTTGGAAACCACTTTGCTATACTTGTAATCGGACAAGCGCCAGACAACAAGCCGACGCTCAGATCCAGTTTACTTCAACTTGACGCTGTTGTTGTTTACAGGCCATGATGGCTCAGTGCCAGTATCCCTTGAGCCAAAATGTCTCATGGGACCACCCATAACAGTACTGTCATATGACACTCCTGCAGTGTATCTTCAGCATGATATATAATTTAATCAGGCTGATTGTGTTTCATTGTTTCACGATTCTGCGCAAGATTTGAACGCATGCATGAAAATAATAATTATAATAAATTACACTTAATGGTTTGTTACAACCTCTATATATATACTGCTCTAAAATCGTGTAAACGACCTTCCAAATAAAGTCGACTCGTACACATAAACGCACCATCTGTTCAGTGCACAAAACGTTGTTATAAAAGGCACATATCCACATCTATGAATATCACTATGTAATTTTAACATGAGGTATTGGTAAACTAAAACTCATGAGATGGTAATTTGTATTAAATTCAAACACAAATGCAGTGTGTGTTTTTTGGGTGGTTTAAGTATGGCACAAGAGATAAGCTGCAGCCCCACTGTGTGGTCCACACCTACAACAAGTGCTGGAATGCTTTTCTCTCTGGGAGGAGGGGTATATAGGCTACAGTATTGCACAATGTGTTTAAGCTCCAGTGACGTTGTATGGTATCATTTTTCACTAATCATTTGAAATATTTAACACAGGGTTTGGTTTTTGTAATCCTTTGACCTCATCTTCTAACTCCTATCTACTCTATGGTGAAGAATGACTTGCACTTTAAAAAGAGTTGTTAATTAATATGTGTTTAACCCTTTGGATCCAGAAGTGTGCTACAATTTCTATTTAGCAGCATTTACTTTTTCTTTTCACATGGTTAAATTGTTTAAAATATTCATTTTGTCACTTATAATAAAAGCAGTTTCTAAGAAAAACTCCTATGGCCTATGGAAACCCCAGTTGATTTTTTTTTATTACAATACTGTTTCTCAATACTTCATTGGATTAATTTAACATTTTAATGAATAATGTTTTATAACTGAGTAATTCCCATTTTCTCACACACATCAGTGACTGGGTGGGGGTCTACTGAAATATTTTAAATGATAAGATGTGATAGGTTTACGCTAATCCCTTGTCAGCTTTTGGTTTCAGTATCGGACAGGAGAAGGGAGATGTGGGAAAGGGGTTTACATTTTTCACAGTTTGCAAACAAAAAGCTTACCTTCATTCTTTACTTTATCTATCTCAGGGAGGTGGGGCGATCTTAATGTTGCCTGCTCTGATCAGGGATTTTAATTAAATAATAATAATTTAATAAACACTGCTAAATAATGACAGGATCATAGACCATTCATATGTAAGCAGATTCACAAAGTTGTCCACTGTTGGTCATTGTATTTCATGGCAGGGTTTGCTGTTTTCATCTCCACAAACCATAAAGTCACGTACAGTATGTGCAAGAGAGAACGAAACCTGAAATACTGCTTTGTCAGTAACCGCTCTAGAAGACCTGTCTCTTAACAAGCCAAGTGGCATTCTTACTGCAAACACTGTGCTCCTGACAGTTACTATTACCTTATGTTAGAACCAGAAACTGGTCATAACAGGACATAATATTGATTTATTTACATTTTATTTTTTATTTTTTTTTGCTTTTTGTTAAGATGATCATGACTGAAAACAGATTCATCGTGATGCTTTTGATCTCAGGTTTGAACCTTACATGCTTTTTTTTAAATAGCTGTTGATTGTGTTATATGATATTTTTCAAATGTATAATATAAATGCATGAATATAGTTGGCTGCTCGTGAAGACACTGAACATTTTAATTGTGAAGAAAGAACTCTTTTTGAAATGAAAAAATACAAATACAAGAATGTTGTTATTATTGTTGGTACTCAAACTGCTGTAATATACTACCTGTAATTTCACAGGATTTTGCTCCTTCACACTGGGATCTTCAGATTTTCACCTTATTAACATTTCAAAGACCTACGAAGAAGCAAAGACCTATTGCAGAGAGATGTACACTGATTTAGCTACAGTTCATAACTCAACAGATATGAATAGATTGGTCACATTCATTTCGGATGCCGTTGCCAGAGCTTGGATAGGACTGGAGACTGGAGATGTGTGGATGTGGCACTGGTCGTGGCCTGATCAAAAACTGGATTTTTTTAACTGGAAGGCAGGAGAACCTCAAAATAAGAATCAAGATGCGTGTGCAGCAATGGATCAACACGGCAAGTGGTTTGAAAGTGACTGTGGAACTAGTAGAAGTTTTGTTTGTCATGGTAAGTGAAATGGCAATATTGCAGTCAGTTATTTCAGACTGCACATTTACATTTAAATGCAGAACATTACTATGTTCTTTATGTCTTAAATATGAAATCTGTGGACTTGCAGGCAACAGTGATACCAGTGGTCACATTTTTGTTGCTGAGACCAAATCATGGAGGGACGCTCAGAATCATTGCAGGGGCTTATCGTCTGATCTGGTCAGCATACACTTGGCAAAAGAGAATGAGGCTGTACAAAATGTGTCAGCGTCACAAAATGTGTGGATTGGCCTCTTCAAAGATCCCTGGAAGTGGTCTGATGGGAGCAACTCATCATTCCGTGACTGGAAACCCTTCCAGCCTAACTACCTTGAAGGTCAGAATTGTGTTGCTGCTGTATTCAAGGGTCAAGGGAAGTGGAATGACCTAAAATGCAGTGGCAAACGCCGTTTTGTTTGTCGTGGGGGTAAGTTGCTGTATTACATTCTCTGTAAGCAAAGTGATCTAGTAGAATTTCGTATATTAATGTTTTTTAACCTTACACAAACCACTCAGTGTCTATTAATTTATCACTTACTCTTACAGCAAATAAATCCATTCCAACCACCGACCAAGTAAATATGACAACTCTTCCAAACACATCTCAAGAGGTCATAATAACATATCACTTTACTGTGGTTTCTACCAATCATTCAAACACTATAAATGTTACCACCACTGAAGCAACAACTGCCAATGAAGTGACAACACCAAATACCACAGATATTGTGTTAAGTACCTCAAGCACTGAGCTCAACAATGCAACTGCAGAACTATCAACTGTGACAACAACGCAGATAACTTCCACAACTACTGTACACACAACAACAGATGGCGCCTCTGCATTAACAACACTGAATGAGACTCTAAAGCCCACTGAAATGGCTCTAGGTAAGTTTAAACTTATCAAGTGCCTTTGTCTTCATTTTGCTTAAATTTGTATTAGGAAATTAAGTACAGTGTCTCTGTTTTTCCTTCCTGTTGTCTTCCTAAAGGAAATCTGATACTAATCCAGGAAAACATGACATGGATTGAAGCTATGAGTTACTGCAGGGAGCACCATATTGACCTTGTCCACATTACCACCAAAGACATTCAGGAGAAGGTGGCTGTAAAGGCAAAGAACGCTACCTCTCCCCACGTCTGGCTAGGTCTACGCTACACTTGTAATTTTAACTTTTGGTTCTGGACCAGTTCAACTACTGCCTGTTACCTGAACTGGGCACCGGGACAAGGATCAGAGGGGAAATATGACTGTGGTGTTACAGGTGCCATTGAGGCCACTGGGAGGCAGCAGTGGGTAGGCTTGCCTGAGACAGAAAAACTGAACTTCATCTGCTCTGCATGTGCTGGATGAGTGCAGACGGCCGGTGACACTTAAGAGAAGGAATAATTTTTATATGTGTGCTAGTTATACAAGCTTTGCTGTTTCACAATGATATGTTTGCAACTGCTAATTTAATGTTTTTGACATAAATTGTAACATAAAGCTGATGGACTTCAGCAGAAATATGGGTATTTCAACGCTCCCTTATGACGTCATACTTCTACCTTTGTTGAAATACAGCTGCCTTCTCTATTGTTCAGATTGAATTTCATTAAATATGAAAACCTCATGTGGTGTGTAGGCGTGCACATTCACAGTCATGGGCAGCAAGAGTAATGTGAGAACATTGATCTGCTCTATGCTTTTCACTCAGGGGTTACTATTTGCATGTTGACCCCCTGGGTTGGGCCCCCAAGACTGTCTTTTTCAGACCACCAGAGTATGGCCCCAATCCAGACTGCCTGCTGCCCTCACTGACCTGACCTTCACTAGCGGCAGCATGGAAGACAGAGCTCACAGACGCTCACCTTCCTGTCTGCACCCTTGAGGTGCATGGAGCATCTATAACCATGGGAACTGGAAATGATACAACATATTCATTGATCAAAAACAAACTGTATTTCATCGATCTCAAACTGTATGACATAAATGCAACAGTGAATCGACTGTTTTAACTGTTATCAGACAGCTTGTTCCATAGAACCAGTCTTTGGATGAAAATCATATGTTGCTTGTGTATTTTTTTTTTTTTTTTTTACTTTTCACAACACAGTAAAATCCTGCTTTCTTTTTGAAATTAATATCTCCTGATAAATGTTCGAATGGGCTTTAATTGTCAGTTGGTACATTTTAAAGTCCAAGATCTCTATGAGTTGAAAAAAGAAACTGTGTTAAGAATGGAGGAAATATATTGTGTTTAATACTGTAAGTAATTATAACTGTCAGTTAAAACTATTGGAAAACAAATGGTGATACTGGATGCATACTGAAGTGAGTCCTTAAATCACAAAATGAATAAAATTATACGTAACTACATCCCAGTACATTCCTACATGCCTGTTTTTGGGAAGAAGTGACCTTAATATTTTTCAATACTTTAAATATGATCCAGTTTTAAGGACAGTACAGCATTATATGAGTATGTTGGCAATGTTTAGTTAAATAACCCCATATAACCACTGAATACCAGTACATATAGCTTGTAATCCACCACTGAATTCTGATAACTGCTTTTGCATCCACAATGAGGGTCTTGTCACTTGTCAATTACCACGGACCATTACACATGAGTGTGTCTTAGCTTAGTTTTTCTCTGAATAGGCATTGGTCAGTGCGCCTCCCATCAGTTCAATGTTAATGTCCCATTGGGTCCAGTCAGTCAGTCTCTGGACTACCCCCTCACCTCTTTTTCTCACCCTCATCTTCTCTTGTGTGCTGTCCAGCTGGCTCTGACCTCTGACCCTTTCACCCTCACTCCTGACCCCTGAGGACATTCCCACGCCACACCCTTTTGTGTACATCTCTCCATGGAAACCCAGTGGTCACTCCCTCTGCATTTTTAGAGATTATGGTGATAGACATAATTCACTTTCACCGGGATCAGTGTAATGCAACCTAATTTGGCCTAATCCCAATTCAAGTATGAGGTGCAACAAAACTGTGCTACAAAAGTGTATATTTATTAAGAGTGTGTGTAAACCTTCCCAATATAGGACATAAAATACCATCATTACTTTACATGTCAGTTTATCATATGAATGATTAGCCTTACAAAATATAATACAGAATATATTTACCAAATCAAAAAGTTAAATACAATGACAAAATACTGCTGTGTGAGGGTCCGAACATTAAACAAAAAAGTTCTATGAATGTGGTCACTTTTATGGGTACTTATTCAGAAATTTCTGAAGTTGAAACTTTAAAAATTAGTGCAAATATTGTTTTTTAACTTTACGTCTCTCTACCTGCCATGCGCACTTGTGTCCCTCTCTGTCTTCTTTTCTTCTCTGAGTCTACACCCCTCCGTAGATCCCTCCCTTCTTTTCCTTCTGTCACTTTCACAGTTAATTGTAGAAAAAGAGATTTTCTCCATTGAGGCCGTGTCTCTTAGGTAACCCCACTCCAGCATGAAATGAGATGGATAGAGGGGAAGAGACAGAGAGGGGGACATGGACAGGCAAACTGAACAAGCAGCGGTTGAAGACGGATGCAGAGGAGAGTTAACTTAACAATATTTGAAATCATTTAGAAAGAAAAAGTTTAATATTTCATATGCATAGGGACAAATGAATCATATCTGCTTCTCTGGGACTATTATCAGTGTATTATTGATGGTGCATGATGTAAGTATTAAAATAGTTTACTTTTTTACTACTTTCGCTTCTTAGTACAAGTGAATTCTTTAATATTGACGTTTATAGATAAGAAATAAAGGAAATTGTTAAATTAAAATGTGTAAATTTTTAAACAAGCATTTACTGGTAGTAAACTTGGATTACATAATTTTTAAGAAACTGATACTCTTGGATTACATTTTTGAGTGTTTAGTGCGCTTTCTCTTGACATTTCATTAATTATTTAGTCTCCCAACAAACAGTAACTGCTTGAACAAATACTTAAAAAAAGAAAACAACATTATATTTTATACTTTTATATTAGATTTTAGGATTCTGCACTTGTTTCAATTTATCTCCTATGATATTTTATTAATTCATCCCTTCACTGCAGGATTAACTCCCAGGGTTGTACATCCCAAGTTTTGACAGGGAGTCTGGTGTTGATTGTCCAAACGCAATTCTTGTGTTACTTCTCCATATCCAGGAGTTGTGGATGGACATCATGCACCCGACTCTCATTTACTCCCTTGTACTTCTTACTGTGGCAACAGAGATCAACATGGGACCTAATCAAGTGTCATGTAGCTCCTATAATGAGAAGGGACTGCATTTTAATAGTAGTAAAAAAGTTTGATTCTGCAGGGCCCATACTGGATTTTAAACAGTTTGTTGAAGTTGATCATGTTAAGCTTCCAGACACTGGACGTTGACTTTTCAACTCCCTGAATTCTCTCTTGCAGCCTATCTAGACAGAATCGACCTTCTCTAAGCTACAGCAGTGGAGTTACATTTTTACATTTTCTCCCTAGTTCCGAAGAGCTGAAATTGTTTGAATTTGTTTTAGGTGTGTGGATATCATATTATCTTGGAGAAACAAGTAACCTGAACACATTAGTACAATTGGTATCTCTCGCTATGTAAGGACAATCAGATTATTAATGGGTGAGGAGATGATATACCACAAGGCCACATGGCTTGTGGTTGAAATGAAATGGAGTCTGACAGAGATGTTTCTTCCATGAGCCAAATGTGTCTTTGGATTATACAAGGCCATGACAAACTGTATGTATATGTGTATAATTTATATGTATTCGTTAGCTTGATTTTAATTGTACAGGAGCCAATATTTTTCAGTTCTTTAAAACTAGCTTAATCTTAATGTTACAGCTATGTATTATTTAATCTGAAACTTTGATGTATGTTAAAAATACATTTCAAAACTTTTTTAAGGAATACTCTGAAATAAATTGATAAAGATAATTAGATTTATATATATTTATTATTATAAATAGTTAGAATAGAAACACCAATTGAATCTCCTTATACAAACATAATGGATCTACTATTATAGAAGGTCCCTGCAAGGTGGATTTCAGAGGGATCAGTGCCTCAATCTGAGCTCTTGGCTTGAATAACCATTTTAGTGCATACATTCTTCTAAAACCTTTGATATGGATGTTTATGGGTGTTTACATTTACACAAGAGTTATGAGTATAAAGTAAAACATCAATAAAGATGTCAACATTGATGCATTCACTTTTTTTTATTATGTATATATAAAAAAGTGAATTATCTGTCCAGTCAGTGTGTTTAATGTTGAATTGCATATTGTATCCTGCTACAATTGAATGGAAGATTTGTTTTTTGTAACTCTGTTTATTTCATCTTACACCAAGCAGCTCATGTAGAAAGAAATAAAGTTTCTGGCCTTGTCCCTGTTTATCTTTGTTATTTGCTTACTTGTTCTGTGTCGTTGTCATAAATCCCAAGTGCAGCTGTAATGCACTTTGCTATAATTGATAGAGGGTTTAGTTATTTTGTTTTTGTACCATTTTGCCAGATTAGAATTGCCTAACATCAGAATTGTCAACTCGGTGGAGTAGGCGGATTCAAAGGTCTCGACCCAGGCAAAGATCAGAAGACAGTTTGGCAGCTTTTTAAATTCCATTCAGCATATGTTGAGTTCACTAATGAATACGCAAATGATTGGGGATTGTATAGTTGCAAGAAACCTGCATAGTATGCTTTACTATTGATAAGATATATATACAAAATTTGATTAATCAAACTGAAGAAAGTGTTATAAGTCGGGAGTTTACAGATATATTTGAGCTCTACTTTAGCAAATCATTACTGAATTAGAGTCAACAGCAGGCACTCCATCCCAAACAGAATACACTTGATTTCTTGTAAATCACATGATCTGGCTGACTTGCAGTGGCCAATGAGGGAATGGTTACACATTGTGCAATAGAAACAAACACTTTCCATGCTGCAAGCCAGGCAGTAATATAAAATCAAACATGTTATAGTCTGAAATGGATCAGTCCACTATAATCTGATCTGCACTGTTAGCCTCATTATTATTTATTAATTTTATTATTAGATTTCATACTTTCATCTGTGTATAAATTTACACACTACTGAACCACGAAGCCTGTCACACTTATGTACACATCAGCATGCATGTCATATTTTACCATTTTCTCTGTTTATGTCTGAATCACTATGAGGAATGATTTTGAATTTAGTGTTTAAGTTAACTTTGAAGAAAAAAATAGAGGGAGGGCACTGAGAGATCCAACGATTGAGAAATACAGGGGTGGATGAATAACAAAACCTCCGTTAATCAGAAGTCTGCGTCAGTGCAGGCAAAGAAATAGGAGCTACACAATGAAGTGCCACATCTTTTTTCTACTGCTCCTGATCTTGACTAAAGAATCAGAGTGTTCACCGGACAACGGGTAAATGTAGAAATACCTGCATGAACCTACATTATGTAATAATGCAATGTAATGCCAATCATTTCTGTGAGGGTTAAATTATGCTCTCTAACTTTTAAACGTTGATATAATTACACAGTAATTAATTTACAAAAGTTTTCAGCATATTATTAGATTGTTATTATGTTATTTTGTCATAATATAAAAGATAAGACAAAATATGTGGCATTATTTTTCACTTTTGTGTGCAGATTCTTCATTTCAGCCCCTGGAGTGTTTCATGTGGGTGTAAATGAGAAAGTGTTTGTCCAGATGGGAAAATCTCATCTTAATAAGACTGTTTCTCTTCACCTGGAGCATAAAACTGATATTGTGTCTGCGAAGAAAACTGTTGTGTGTGCTACGGAAGGGGAGATCAAAACAGTGGAGCTCATGGTATGAGAAACTCTTGTAGCTCTTCTACAAATTTTAGACAGGACTGGGATGTTATTAACCAAAACCTCTAATTTGCATCTTTATAGATAGACATGGAACTTATGTCAAGTTTTTCTCAACATCGAGACCTTATGTACCTTATACTGGTGGCAGAGAGCCCCTCCTTCCCTCGCAGGAAGCAAACCAGGGTCCTGGTATCAAAACACAGGGGCAATATCTTTATTCAGACTGATCAGCCAATCTACAACCCAGCACAGACAGGTAAAAGGAAAGTCAATAAATGTAAAAAAAAAGAAAAAAAAGAAAGTGAAACAATGTGAAATAATTCTCCACAAAAATGAACAGTGATTGATGTTGATTATCTCTTCTAGTGAACTACAGGATATTCACTCTTGACCACACATTCAGGCCTCATGAGGGAGTGTTCCACATATCAATTTATGTGAGTAGAAACATTTTCTTTGAGAATAAAGGGGACTTTGAAAGATGAGCACAATTATTTTCATGGTTTAATTTCATGATTTATGCATTTTATGA